AGTTAATGGAAACTACCTGTACCTGACAGACTAGTTAATGGAAACTACCTGTACCTGACAAACTAGTTAATGGAAACTACCTGTACCTGACAGACTAGTTAATGGAAACTACCTGTACCTGACAGACTAGTTAATGGAAACTACCTGTACCTGACAGACTAGTTAATGGAAACTACCTGTACCTGACAGACTAGTTAATGTTGGAAACTACCCGTACCTGACAGACTAGTTAATGGAAACTGCCCGTACCTGACAGACTAGTTAATGGAAACTGCCCGTACCTGACAGACTAGTTAATGGAAACTGCCCGTACCTGACAGACTAGTTAATGTTGGTAACTACCCGTACCTGACAGACTAGTTAATGTTGGTAACTACCCGTACCTGGTTCTGTCTGACTGGTTGGTTCTGTCTGACCCGCAGCTGTATTACACTCAGAACTACCATCAGAAGATCCGGTTGGACTGCGCCGGCTACATGAGAGCCAACAGGTGTAACTTTGAACCGGTGAGTCCAAGCTGGTCCGTCAGAACCAGGTCCAACATGAAGGTGCTCTGTTGGACCCAATCTTTAGAACTTTGTGTTTCAGTTTGTTGAAGGGTCCTTTGAGAAATACCTGCAGCGTCTGGAGGATCCCAAGGTGAGCTGTTSCACACACACTTGAATGAATGTGAGTACCAGTAAGGAAGTACACACCTGTAMATCCACACACACCTGTGTGTTTTGCAGGAAACGGTGGGTCAGGTGGAGATCAAGGCTCTGTCTCAGCTGTACAGGTAAGCACACCTGTGTCACATGACTTYGACTGAAGCAGGTCACATGGTTCCCACTCCTTATGACTCACTTCCTGTTTGTGCGTCATGTAGGCGGTGCTTCCTGATCTACCGCTACCCTGGGAAACCAGCCACCGTCATCTCAGAGGACGACTTCCTGAATCAGGTCAGGATGTGTGTGGGCGCTATGGTGACATGATCAAACCGTACTCTGATTGGCTGCACTTTACCTTCAGTACTGTGCTGCCCAGGTGACGCTGTGCTGCTCCATCAATGGTCATTATGACATTGTTTACCCGAGGAGCTACCCCACCTCCGCTGCGCTCTGCCAGTGTGAGTCACCAAATAAACAACAGCATGACATCTTGTCATGGTCCTACCTGCTCAGGTGTGTCTCTGTGTTCAGCTCTCCTGTATGAGCTACTCTACACCCAGGTGTTCAGGTTGGAGGAGGCGGAGCTCTTTCAGGCCATGGAGGCCTTCAGGATCGGAAGTCGTCGATATAGAAACAGCTCGTCAGTGTGCAGTGATGTGGATGTTGGCTACGATATACCTGACGAACAAGGACACAGGTAAAAGAAAAATGATGGTGTGTGTGTGTATGTGTGTGTGTATGTATGAATGTATTTTTATTTTTTTTTCAGGGAGGACGTTGAGGCGAATGGAACTGCCGAGGACAGACCTCTACCTGTAATCGATGACATGAAGGTGAGAATCTGTTTCCATCAGAAATCACTGATAGTCCTCTGAGGCTCCGCCCACATGTTACATGTTCAGGTTCCACTGGAAATTCTTCCCTCCCAGGCAGGAAATCAGAATATTGGTGACAACTGTCTGAACCTTCAGCTGGGACCTGTTTCACTATGTTTTAACTCCTTCTTATTGGACAGATTTTCTGACCAATAAGGAACCTCCGTTGTTCCACATCAAATGAAAGAGGTTGTTTCATTGTTCTTTCAGCTTGCTGCTGAAGCCCCGCCTCCCTCCAGACTCTCTCTGCCCTACAAAGTGTTGAAGTCTCTGGATGGAGAAGTTTACAGAAACCTGGAGTTTGATGTGTGGCAGGACACCTGTAAAGGTAAGACAGGAAGTCCACTCCTGGTCTCATGTGTGACATCATCGTGTTTCTGACTCACCCCAAGTCTCTGACCCAAGTGGAAAACAAAATGAAAAARACCAGGAAGTTGGTTCTGTTGGGGCTTAATGATCTCTGATTCAGGATCAGATTGTCCCCTGCTGGTGGTTCAGGTAGTAATCAGATTACTCTCAGCACTCTGTAATCAGATTACTCTCAGCACTCTGTAATCAGATTACTCTCAGCACTCTGTAATCAGAT